AATTGAAGAACTTGCTTTACCACTCCAAAAAGATGCCCTGTGCCCAGTAACAGTCATTCTGCATCAGAAGAACCCATTCCTCCAGCACTTGCAGCTACTTATCTATTTGTTTTTGTAAATCACAAGACTTAGATTTACTGGCAATGGCTACAAATAGCAGATTGCATGTGAAATTTCCTTCTGATTTCCATACGGTAGTTCACACCTGTAATCTCAGCTCTCTGGAGGCAGGTAGGCAGGAGGACCCTAAGTTTGAAGCCAGCTTTGTCTATATAATGAGTCTCCAGGATAGCCAGAGCGGCATAGTGAGAGTCTTTGTAAGAAAAGAAACAAAGTCTGGAGAGACAGTTAAGGGCACTTGTTGCTCTTCCACAGGACACAGGATGGATTCCCAAGCACCAGCTCAGCAGCTCAGGACTCTATAATTCCAGTTCCAGAGCATCGGACGCCCTTTACAGGCCCTGCATGCATGCAGTGTACAAGATTTGAGAAAAGAAATAGGGGGGCTGAAGAGATAGCTCATTAGTTGAGAGCACCTGCTGTTCTTCCAGAAGACTAGAGTCTGCTTCCCAGAATCCATACTGAGTGGTTCGCAACCGCCTATAACTTCAGCTCCAGGGATCCAAGGCAAAGGAGCTGGTGGGATGAGCAGACTGTTCCTGTGCTATTAATGCCAAAACAAAACTGATAATTCTTTTTTAAAAAAAGACTTTAATTATGTGTATATGTGTATGTCTTGTGTGTGGTCTATGTATGTGTGTGCAAGGGTCTTCAGAGACCAAAGAGGGTGTCGGATCCTCTGGAGCTTGAATTATAGGCTGTAAGCTGCCTACAAGGGTGCTGGGAATGGAACTGTGGTCCCCTGCAGGAGCACCAAGCGCTCTGAACTGCTGAGCCATGTCTCTAGCCTGAGACGGATCATCCCGACACAGTTTTTTCTTTTAACAACTAAATAAAAGGTGGATCCAACACACAGAAATGAGCTAAAGACATAAGTAGTCTTGTTCTCTAGATATCAATGCTGAGAACAAGAAATTCCACAAGACCCTGTCTCAAACAAATGAAAGAAAGAGAGTCACTCAAGCATCTCTGTATCACCGAGCCGAAACCCCTCATCTTGATTGGCTCCCCCTCCCCCTGGTCGTTTTTTTGCTCATGACAGAGATCATTAGTTATTCACCTATTCATCCACCTAGCCAACAAAAAGGTTCGATTTTGTACATGTGGTACCAGGCCCTTGGTACCTTGTAAGGTTGGGTAGATGAAGAGGAGTGGAGACCTGGGGAGATGGCTCATTAGTTACGATCACTAGGTGCCGTCTGTCGAGAGAGCCTGAGTGGAGCCCTTCCTGCGCCACATCCATGTTGGATAACTCATAGCTGCCTGTCACTTTAGCTGTAGGGAATTTAAGCCCTCATCTGGCTCCAAATGCTCCAACACACACACACACACACACACGCACACACACACACACACACACGCACACGCACACACACACACACGCACACACACACTCGAGGGGGGGCCCTGGGCACTGTGCAGAATGGGATGGAGGTCAAGGACTAATGAAAATGAAGGCTCTCACCCCCCTTCCCACAAGAGTTACAATCTAGTGAGATGAGACTAGTGAGGGAGACGAGAACAAACCCCTCAAAACAAGGTATCTCATTTAATTAACTTTGATCAACCCCCTACCCACAACAAACAAACAGGGTCTCATATCTTAGAAGCTGGCTTCAAACAATGACGTTGAATTTCGGATTTTCCTGTCTCCACCTCTCTAGTGCTGGGATTACAGGCATGGACCACCACATCCGATTTATAGGCCAGGTCTATGCTGTGCTAGGGATGGAGTCCAGCATATGTCATGCCATGCATGTCAGACAAGCACTACCAGCTGGG